CCCACGGAGATGAGACAATTTTTCCATGGCTAGAACAAAAATGTAGGGAGATAAAGGATCACCCTGACGAACTCCTCTTGCAGGAAGGAAGTCACCTGCAATGGCTCCATTCCAAAGCACTGAGACCTTATCAGAGTTGATACAATTCATGATAATATTTGTGAACCAGTGTGGGATTTGAATTTCATCGAAAACTTTACGAACAAACTCCCAATTTAACATATCATAAGCCTTTTCCAAGTCGATTTTAATTGCCATGAAACATTTTCTTCCTCTCATTCTACGCATTGAATGGATCAGCTCTTGGGTGATGATGATGTTGTCCTGGATATGTCGTTTAGGAACAAAACTAGCTTGGAAGGGAGACACCATCTCTTCCATTAGGGGCTTCATTCTGTTAACCAGAATTTTACTGAGGATTTTATAAATGACATTGCACAAAGAGATTGGTCTGAGCTGCTTAGCACTTTCAGGTCTCTTTACTTTTGGAATGAGGACCAGAAGAGTCGAGTTCACAAGGTGAATCAGATTGGGATTCTGAAACATCATGTTAACATCCTTAATAACATTAGTCTTAATAAGACTCCAATTCTTATGAAAAAAGGCAGCTGGAAAACCATCTTCCCCTGGAGCTTTTGACCCGTTGATACTAAAAACAGCTTTTGAAATTTCGTCATCCGAAAGATTACGAGTCAGATTAGATAGCAGATGATCGTGCAGAAGGGGCCAAGTAGTCTTTGTTTTCACCCAATCACGATTAAGGACTTCCTCACTAAACAAGTTGCTATAGAAATCTGTTACCAATTGATGAAGTTGTCTAGCTTCCTTCACCCAAATCCCATCAGAATTTTTTAACTCAAGAATCCTATTCGAACTTCTTCGAGTAGCTGTTTTAATGTGATAGAATTTGGTGTTTCTATCCCCATCATTTATCCATTTCACCCTGGCTTTTTGAAACCATAAGATCTCTTCTTGTATGAGAACCGCATCAAGGTCCTTCCTAACCTCCTTTTCTCTAGATTGGAGAGATAAGTTGGTATGATAATCAACATGATTCTGAATTTCTGCAATACTATGCAATAGGTTAGTCTTCCTGTTGAAAATGTTGCCAAAGACTACCTTGTTCCATCTTTTTAAATTTGGAGTCAGATCATGCAGATTCGTTCTAGTGTCTTTCACAACATTCCAGCTCCTAGCCAGAAACTGAGTAAAGTTATAATGCTCCATCCAAGCAATCTCAAAGCGAAAGGGACGATTTTTCCAACCTGTGTCCAAGTTAGTCAAGTAGACCAAAATGGGACTATGATCAGAATAAATCCGTGGAAGTACCTTAACGCCAGCATCAGTAAAGGTAGTCTTCCAACTTGCATTAGCACAGGCTCAGTCCAGCCTCTTAAAAACACGATCAAGATGAAGAAACTTCGGACCCTTCCATGTAAACCAAGGACCTGATCCTCCAAGATCCAGCAGCTTGCAATTATGAAGAACATTTGCAAAATTGGAACATCTGTTTAAGTTAACTCTACAACCACCTTTCTTCTCATCCTGATTTGCTATTTAATTAAAATCCCCAGCCACCAACCACGGCCCATTGCAATGGAGACTAATGTTTAGCAGATCATCCCAAAGCTCCTTTCTATTTTCTTCCCTAGGACTCGCATAAACTGCCGTGCAAGAAAAGGAAGGAACATGGAAATTCTGAACTTTAAAATGAACAAACTGTTTTGTGTGATTAACAATTTCAATGAGACCAGTCTCATCATTCCAGAGGATCCAAATACCCCCTGAGTAACCTTCTGCCTCTTGAACAAAAGCATGCTTAAACCCAGATTTTCGGATAATGTCAGAAGCTTTTTGACCACTACACCGAGGTTCTAGAATCACTACAATACTAGGCTTATATTTCCTAGTAAACAGAAAAAGCGATTTTTGAAACTGGGGTTTCACTGCTCCCCTACAGTTCCAGAAGAATAAATTCATTAAAAACTATGTTGAACGCAAGACTCCAAGGCTCTTGCATCCTTCATTCTTGAAATATCTTCCTGGTGAACTCTGTCCACCTCCATGCACGTAGAGATGGTTGAGGTTTCAGGATTTTGGATGTCGCTGCTGTTGTCAACTGATATATCAGGACTAGTTTTATGAAATGTGCCATATAACTGCTCTTGATTCTGGTTCAAAGTGCTATCTGCTTTCATCCTATTTTCCTGATCATGTTGATTTGCTTGCATAGGACTAACCGCCATGGGAGTAGCAATTGATGGAGATGGTGGAACGGGAGTATGATCTTCACGATTTTCACTCTGGACTGGACACCTCTTACCCGTGCTTGAAGAAGGAGCCGCATGCATAGTAGGAACCGTTGATTTAGTCCTAGGGGTATCTTTGGACTTTTTAGATTTAGTCCATATTTTCTGAGGAATTTCAAACTGAGGGGCCCCCATATGAGGAGTAACAGAATTAATTATTTGATTATGATCCTCCTCATTAATAGGTCCAACTGTTAAGATTGCAAACCGTGATTGCGTAATTTCCTCCTTATCACCATGATTATCTCCATGATTATCGCTGGTCATAACTCCCTTATTACCATGATTACCATGATTATCGCTGGTCATAACTCTCTTATCACCATGATTATCTCCATGATTATCGCTGGTAATAACTCCCTTATTACCATGATTACCATGATTATCGCTGGTCATAACTCTCTTATCACCATGATTATCGTTGGTCATAACTCCCTTATCATTATTCCTTTGTAACGTTTTTGAACCAGCGCCTGGCTGGACTGCACCGGCCGTTTGAGGAGGATGCCGGCTCCTGCGTTGACGATTAACAACCATCCAAGGTCCCAATCCTTTGCTTCGATGGAATTCTGAGTTGCCAGGTTCCTCTTGATGAATTTGATCGTCATTATGAATATCGGATGAACTGAGTTGCTTTGGAGCAGCTGAACAATTCTCGGTGCTATGTCCATATTTCCCACAACCAAAACAAATGAGTCCTAATCCTTCATACTCAATTTGTTTGGTAAATCCTTCCAGCACATAATCACCCTTTAATGGCTGAGATAGGTCCAGTTCCACACATATTGTTGCAAACCGTCCTCTTACAGGAGCATTTGTATTGCTGTCTACCTTGATCATCTTGCCTAACCAGTTTCCAATCCTTCTAAAAAAAGCTTCATCATAGAATTCAATGGGAATATCCGGTAACCGAATCCAAGCAGCAATCTTAGCAATTCCAGCACTATTAGGTCTGAAAGTTGGTTCCCACTTCCTCAACGATAAATAATGACCCAAAACAATCCATGGACCACCGTTCAAAGCAAAATTGAGATCATCCTTCTCACTAAACTGGACTACGAAAAAGTCATTACCAATATCAGTGACATTGATTTTGCCTTTTCTAGCCCATAAGACATTTATTTTTTTCTTCATAAACTCCACCCCAATTTTCTTCCCAAGGAGTTTAACAATCAGAGCTTTCTCCCAAGGTTTCCTCATTCTCTTCCTTGCTCTTTTGGTGCAACTAAAATAAGTACACCCATCATCTTCCTCCCACATCTTAATTCCTCCATGGTTGACATCCTCTTCCTCAGCAGGTTCCTCCCCATCAAAGTCTTCTTCAGCAGACGCCTCTCCTTCCCATTCATCATCTTCTCCATTATGACGCATCAGAATTTCCCTCCAGGTTGAACGTTGGCCATTCTCATCTTCCATCCAACCTTCATGTCTAGATATCATAGATACATCATTTGAAAACTGATCTCCCTCACATTTATTCCTCTTATTACTTCTTTGAAGAATGTCAAGTTCTTCACTTGATTTGCCAGGATTCTTCCCATGATCACCTTTCTCTCTCTCACTCATCGCTCTAATTGATGTTTTGAATTTCATATTGGCCTTTATTCTTGATTAAATATGCCTTAAAACATTTGTGAGTAAACTTCGTATTAGCCATTTGGTTAATAATAGGCTAATGTATAGATGTAACCCGTTGATGCCGGTGATGGAGATCTTCTTCTATATATCTGTAGTAAGTACATTTGCTATTCAATAAGTGACACTTAATAAAAAAAATATTTTTCTCTCCTTTTCATATAAACATGACAATCATTCCTCATTTTTTATTGGATAGATGTACTAAGTGAATAATATAACAGTAGTACCATAAATATTTTCCTGATGATGGAAAGGAAGTGGCCGAGGAAAAATGAAAATAAATGGTCATGATTTAAAGTCTGCGAAAGAATGTTCTATGCAAGTAACAGACATCAAAGATATTAGAATATTGGTACAAAAGGTTGATGGTTTTTATAAGTCAAACTTTTCATTCATAATTTTCTTAATTCATTACATGATATACTTATCATTTTACATATCATCAACCCAATGGGTGCCTGTCGAGTGGATGTGTTAGAATAACAAACTCAGAGAAAACTGTAACAATTAATTTCATTATCTGTAGTGCATGTACAATGGAATGGAAGCTTTATATCAGCAAATGTGAAAGAAGGAAATAACAGAATTGATAAAAATGTGAGAAAATGAGCTCATAGCAGAAAGGCAGTACAACTGTACTATAAAATAACTAACTCTTAAAAAATAAAAATTCTATATTCTAATACTCCTCCTCAAGATGGAAAGTGTATATTGTGCACTCTTATCTTAGAAAGCAGTGAGGAAAACTGAGCAGGATGAAGAGCCTTAGTCAGGATGTCAGCCAACTGATGAGCAGAAGCAATAGAAAAAGTTTGAAGACTGTCTTTAACAATTTGTTGTCGAACCAAGTGGCAATCAATTTTGATGTTCTTTGTTCTTTCATGAAAAACAGGGTTGGCAGCTATGTGAAGAGAAGCAATATTGTCACAAAACAAATGAGTAGCAGCAGAATGATTGATATGAAAATCCTTGAGCAAAGAAAACAACCAAATGAGTTCACAAGTTACAACAGCCATTGAACGATACTTAGATTCTGCAGAAGACCTGGAGACAGTAGCTTGCTTCTTGGATTTCCAACTAATGAGAGAATTTCCCAAGAAGACACAGAGACCAGAAACGCATTTATGAGTATCAGGGCATGAAGCCCGATTCGAATCAGAGAAAGCATTTAATTGAAGCTTGGAAGATGAGGAAAATAATAAACCTTGACCAGCAGTGCCCTTTAAGTAGGACAACACTCTATGAACAGCATGCAGATGAGGAAATCGAGGAGTAGCCATGAATTGGCTAAGATGATTAACAACATAACATATATCAGGCCTAGTAATGGTTAAATAAATCAAACGCCCAATTAGCCTTCTGTACTGTGTGGGATCAGAAAGGTTATCACCTGTAGTTGAAGAGAGTTTGAGATTGGGTTCCATAAGTGTCGATTTTGGCTTGCAGTCAGCATTAGAGAGGATTTGCAAAGTATATTGGCGTTGACAAATTGAGATTCCAGCAAATGAACGAGACACCTCAATACCCAAAAAATATTTCAAAGCTCTTAGATTCTTTAATTTAAACATGTTCAGAGAATATGTGAGATGATGAATCTGATCAACATTGTTAGATGCTACTAGTATGTCGTCAACGTATATCAAAACAGCAAGAAAAGAAGTACCCGAATGCTTGGAAAATAAAGAATGATCAGATTCAGAGTGAGAAAATCCAAGAGAAAGAATAGTTGAGGAAAGCTTAGCAAACCATTAGCAGGAAGCCTGTTTTAATCCATACAATGACTTCTGAAGTTTACAAACTGCATTAGATGGTAAAAACTCCCCCTGTTTATGATAGCCAGGAGGCAAGGACATATAATCTCCTCATAAAGCTCCCCATATAAAAAAGCATTATTGACATCTAATTGAATTAGATGCCAACTGTGAATTGCAGCAAGAGCAAGGAGAAGACGTATGGTGGTAATTTTAGCAACTGGAGAAAAAGTCTCCATAAAATCCAGACCTTCTTGCTGGGTGAATCCCTTTGCAACTAGACGGGCTTTTATAACGCTCAAGAGAGCCATCAACATTATATTTGACCCGATAAACCCACTTACAAGCAACAAGGTGTTTACCTTCAGGCAGGGAAACAATAGACCAAGTCTGATTGTGTTCAAGGGCAAATATTTCAGAATCCATGGCAGCATACCATTCAGGTAATTGAGAGGCTTCAGCATAAGAAGAAGGTTCAAAGGTCGAGGAAAGTGTATTTATAAAGGCATGGTAGGAAGGGGATAGTTTGCTATATTATAAATGAGCTGAGATAGGATGGGCAGTGGAGGTGGAGCAAACATAATCTGAGAGGTGGGTAAGAAGTTTCTTTATACGAGAGGGTCTGGCTGTGGTATGATCAGGAGCTTCAGTAGTAATGATAGGAATGGATGGAAAAGGTAAAGAAGTTAAAGGAGAAGAAAAATGAGCAGAGGAGACAAAAGGAAAAATAGACTCATGAAACACAACATCCCGAGAAATGACAACGCGATTGGTATTCAAGTCAATAAGCTTATAAGCTTTATACACAGGGGGATATCCCAGAAAAATGGCAGGACAAGAACGAGGGGAAAATTTGTGCCTAACACGAGATAGTGTGGAATAAAAACACAAACAACTAAAGACACGAAGATGAGAATAAGAGGGAAGTTTATGACAAAAAAGCTCAAATGGAGTTTTATGATGAAGAAGTGGGGAAGGAATGCGATTAATTAAATAGACTGCAGTAAGAACTCAGTCATACTAGTATGCTAGAGGGATATGGGATTGGAAGTGTAGGGCATGGGCAACATTGAGGATGTGTTGATGCTTGCGTTCAACAACAAAATTTTGTTGAGGACGTTCAACACATGAATGGAATAATTGAATACCTTTGGAAGAGTAAAAATCAAGGAGATTAAATTCGGGAGCATGGTCACACCGAATGGATTTGATTGAAGATGAATACTGGTTGAGCATTAAAGTATAAAAGGATGGGGAAATGGATGAAAATTCATATTTGTGTTGTAAAAAATACACCCATGTGAATCTGCATCATCAACAAGGGTTAAAAATATTTAGCACCAGAAACAGAAATGGAGTTGAAGGGGCCCCAAATATCACAGTGTATTAAAGTAAAAGCAGTGGAAGACATCTTGAGTTCCAAAATAAAGGGTAAGCGTTTTTGTTTTGCTAATGGACAAACAGAGCAAGGCAAATCAGAAACAACACCTTTAAAATGTAAAGTACTTTTCATTGAATTTAAAAGGGATGGGGATGGATGACCCAAACGAGAGTGCCAAAGTACAGAAGAACAAAGGGGATGGGGAACATTAAAAATGGGAAAAAAAATTGAAGAATAAAAAAGGTAGAGGTCACCCGTGCGCCTAGCAATCCCAGTCGTCTTGTGTGTTATAGGTTCCTGAAGAAGGCAAAAAGAACCCAAAAAAGAGCAATGATATTAGAATCTCGTGTAAGGGCACTGATAGAGATGAGGTTCATTTGAAAAGATGGAACTAACAAAACATGTTGTAAAATAAGGGATGGGGAAAGGGAAACATTGCCAACAGAACAAAACGAAATATGGGAACCATTAGGAAGAAAAACAGTAGCAGAGGAAGAAGGAGAAGATGAATTTGATAGAAGAGAGGGAAGGTAAGTGACATGATGAGTAGTACCGGTGTCAAGTACCCAACTAGGTGAGGTAAGAAAGGATGAATACTTACCACTATAGCTCGCAATCATAAGGTTGGCAGCAGGAGAAGTAGCTGTGGGTGAATCAACTGAGGATGCAGTGTCGGTTAGATTAGATAGATGGTTGAGAAGGGAAAGTAGCTTAGCGTACTGGTTAGGTGAGAGAGGTGGGGAATGTGGCTGAGATGTGTCCATATAGACATAGGCTTGAGTGAAGTTTTGGCCCAATGAAGGTTTGGGGATTTGGTTGAGATTTGGGCTCCTAGGCTTGTAGCCAGGAGGAAACCCATGGAGTTTAAAACACTTATCACATGTATGACCTAGCTGTTGGTAATGGGAGCAATAAGGGCGCGAGCAGCATTTGTTGTTGACGACGGCAGTCATGGGAGAAAAAATCGGAACAGTAGCTGCAAAAGCTCTATTAACAGAGTTTGCCTGAGGAGTGTCAAGTGGAGGAAGAAGGGAGGTAGAAATCTGTCGTTGTCGCTCCTCCTGTATAACCAACGAGAAGACACGAGACAATGGAGGTAACGACTCCATCAGCAAGATCTGAGCTCGGATTGAAGAAAAAGAATCATTCAATCCCATTAAGAACTGCATGGCATAGTCCTGTTGTGGGGAGGCAGAGAAAGCCCTAAGACCACCACAAGAGCAAGAAAAATTGGGAGAATAATCATGTAGTTCTTCCTAAAGTATTTTCAGCTTTGTATAATAGGTATTCACATCGAAAGCCCCTTGGTGCAGGGAAGAGATTTGTTGTTTGAGTTGAAAAATTCGCGGACCGTTGGCCTGATGAAATCGAACACGAAGATCATCCCATAGATCGTATGCAGTGGAGAAATACATTAGACTATCTGCAATTTCTTTGGACACCGAATTAAGAAGCCAAGAGAGGAACATGGAGATACACCGGTTCCATGAAGTGAACAAAAGATTAGAGGATTCTGGACGAGTGAGAGTTGCATCAACAAAACACACCTTGTTCTTGGCAGTAAGAGCAATAAGCATAACCCTACTCCATGAATTGAAATTAGGGCCAGTAAGAGAATGAGTAACAAGAATGAGACCAAGGTGGTCACCATTCTGAAGATAAAAGGGACTTCCAGAATCCTCCATAGGAGAATTAAAGGAACCTGTGTTAGATGTGGAAGAATTGGATGTGGCGGAGTTGGTGGTTTTGCTACCACGAGCCATGAAGAAGAAGAAGGTGATCAGAAAAAATCATCT